AAGTGGGAGCTAAAAAATAAACAAACAAATTAACAAAAAAAAGAAAGAAGGATACAACAATTACAATAATATGTTGAACTTTCAAAAGGACAGAATAAAACTGAGGTTACTGGAGGTGGGAAGGGAGGAATTGTTAAAGGGCCACGAAAAACGATTACATTGTATAATGTTGAACATACTAATTATCCTGATTTAAGCATCACATATTGCACACAGGTATTGATATTCTGTTCTGTACCCCACCAATATGTACAATCAACTGTTTCAATTTTTTTTTTCCTTTTTGTCTTTTTTTACTGACCGGTAACGGGATCGCAACCCTTGGTGTTGCGCCCGCACCACGCTCAGCCAGTGAGCGGGAACCGGTCTCCACATGGGATCCGAACCCTCGGCGGGAGCGCCGCCACACTCCCAAGCGGCGCACTCTCCAGTGCGCCACCGGGCTGGCCCAATTTTTTTAAAAAGCCTCAATCTTGCCGCCTCCCTTGCACCATATTGTCCTTTCCCAGGGCACAACAGTCAACACAACATGGGGCTGAAATCACCAGTGCCTGAACAATACTATAGAGTGGAATTTTCTGTGATGATAAAAATGTCTCTGCACTGTTCTATATGATAGTTACTAGACACACGTGACTATCGAGCTCTTGAAATACAGCTAGTGTGACTAAAGAAATTTTATTTGGTTTTTATTGATTTAAATCTAAAGTGGACTAATGGAAAAGAATTATAAAAAGAATTTTTAAAAAATAAAAAACTTTAAATTTTAAAAAATTAAGTAGACTAAGAAATACAAAACTATGTTATCTACCCTTAGTGAATCGTTGTGCAGTATATGCATGTATTAAACCAAACACTGTACCCCCACAAATACGTACAAGTAAATGTTAAGATTTTTTTTTTTATTCTGTCCAAAAAATAAAAATAAATAAATCTACATAGCCACATATGGGAAGTGGCTATCATTGAACAGAGCAACTTTAGAGCTATTCCACTCAGTTCATGTATTTAGTTTAAGAGTCACTCACACCTTGTTCATTCATTCAAAAGGCAATGACACCCATCTGAAACCAAATAATGATATATCCCTGACAGGCCTGAGCTATCAGTTTATCAACTCCTCCTACTTTGGGGATATTTGATGACTTACAGGCACAGGAAAGAGGGTTTATCAAATTAGTTTCATAAATACCATATTAATACTTTATACACAAAATTTCACATATTGAAGGGGATCTGGAGAGGATGTATTCTTTTATACTCGTACGTGTTGTGTTCCCAAAAGCCCTTGGCACTTAGCACATTGTTTTATAGGTAATTGTTTATGCTTCTGCCTCCTCGCTAGACTTTTCATCCTTTCATTTATTCAGCAAGTACTGAGAACCTACTCTGTGCCACACCCTGTTCAAGTTTTGGAAAGCAGAGGACAAGACAGATATAGTCCCCCCATGTAATTTAGTCTCTAGTGGAGGGAAACTGATAATAAGTAAACAAATATGCAAGATAATTTCAGATAGTTTTACCGAACCAAACCAAGTGTGGTCCATTTGCCCTCCAGCCAGGAAAAGCCAATCACGGAACCACATGTATTTGCAATAGAGAAAGAAGGTTTATTTACAAGGTGGTCAGGTGAGAAAATGAGAGATTTGCATCTCAGATGCATCTTACCCACAATGGGAAAGACGGTCCATTTAGGGGGAATTAGTTAGGAGTGGTGGATAGTGATTGGCTAACCGGTTTGAAGGAGTCCTTCAGTGATCTGCACAGGCTCAAGCCCTCTGTGTTCAGAAGATGGCAGCATTAGCAGGAACCAGAGGTGGAACACTCAGCCCTGAGTTGGTTAGAGTGCAGCCTTGACCTTGGTGTTACAAGGCTGCACTCTAACCAACTCAGCAAACTGGCCAGCCCTAGGGAATAAACTTTAACTGAGGTCTGGCTGGTTAGTTCAGTTGGTTAGAGCACAGTGTTATAATACCAAGGTCGGGGTTCAGATCCCCATACTGGCCAGTTGTCCCCTGCACGCCGCCCCAAAACAAAACCCAGAAAAGCTTTAACTGAAAAGCCACACTTACAATAGTGATAAGTGTTATGAAGAAAATAAAAATAAGGTAATGTGATAGAGTGATGGGGGTCTCTTTTAGACCTGTGATCAAGAAAGGCCTCAAAAGAAGGGAAGTTTGAGCTGAGCTCTGACTACAAAGTTGCTGTCCCTGCAAAGCTAAGAACAGCCTAGAGTGGCAGCAGATAGAAAGTCTATGCTCACCACTAGAGCAGGTTGTTTCTTTCTTTTTGATAATGTTGGAGTGAGCAGGACTGAAGCCATGTTAAGACCCAAAACCGTCTGGGCTGCAGGAAATGTTAAAAGACAGTTTTTTTCTTATCATGCATTTCTCTGAGTTCCCTCTCTGAGTTCCCTCTCAGGAAATGTTAAAAGACAGTTTTTTTCTTATCATGCATTTCTCTGAGTTCCCTCTTTTCCCATGGTTATTTGATATTTTGAATCTTGGTTATGGGGCAAGATGACATTATTTACATAAATATAAAGTCGTTTTCCATCATCCTAAAGCTGCAGACTTCCCATAAGACACGTACTATCCAGACCCTGAGAAACTAAGGAAGACATCAATAAAGCTATGCTGACTCCACTCCGAAGCAGGACCCTAAAGATAATAACATCAAGGACGAGAACAGAAACCACATGGAGCCTTGGCAAGAACTTGCACCTGGCTCCTTGAACAGAGCCCCAACAGCTCATGTCCCCATCCCTCCTGCTTTTCACTTCCCACATTCCATTCCCTGAACTCCCTCTTTAAAAACCCTTCAGTTAAATCTGAGTCTTTGAGATGGCTTTAGTCTGGCCACTCTCCTTCAGGTTTACTGGAGATGGGTTAGCCTCACATCTCTCCTCAGGTCACCAGTATTCCTGATTAAAAGCTGACTTCCATTTTCACCAACATTTGAGTTTTGGGTTGTTTTTATTTGGGACAGACAGCAAATAAACAAGATTTTGGTGACAAATCTTTGGTAACAAGATGTTGGCAAGCCTCAGCCAGGAGCTCAGTGCCTCCCTGCCATCGCCAATAACAATAATTGCATTCTTAGTTCCTAATATAATGCTTGTCTTTGAATAATATTAATAACAACAATAAGTAACATTTTTAGCATAAATAAGTGTACTAAATGTTTATTTGAATTATCTTGGTTAATACTCACAAGACACAAGCCAGAGAAAGAAATTAAGAGACACTAAATAACTTGCCTGAGGGCATGCAATGGATCAATGGCAAAGCCAAGAATCCAGACTTCTGAGCCCAGAATCTATGCTTCTAATTAACCAATGAGGCTTATTGAGTACCAGCATCTAAAAATGCAACTCTCTAGCATAAAGCCAAGCCAACTGAATTAGAATCACAGAAGGTAGGGATTGGAAATCTGAATTTTTAGCAAGCTCTCCATGTGATTCTCATGCACACTGAAGTTTAGCATCACTGTGCCTTATTAAAAGAATGAATGAAAGAGACAAGTCCTCTGCTACCAGGGTACTTCAAAAGTTTGTGGAGAAATGGAATCAAAAGAATATGCATCTTTCCATGAACTTTTTGAATACTCATATCTCTACTACATACAGTACCTACCCCATATCTTGAAAATTCCTAAATCCTAAACTCTATAAATGCAAGTTCTCTTAAACTTTAAGTCTTTATTATAATGATCAGTTTAACACTTGTTACAAGAAAGAAGAAATCTCATAATCTCCTGGTTCTTGCAGGATAACTAAAGAAAAAGACCTTGGTAAACCCCTCCCCTCCACCATACTACCTCCCATCCTCTATCACACCCCAGTCTAGTTTTAGTCAGATCTAAAATCTGACAGCTCCAGGGAAATCAGGCCCTGTTTACCAGTTCAAGTAAATTCTGCAGCCAGCCTCAAGATTTGGTTCCTCTGCTGAGCAAGCCAGTGCACTCAGGACCTCTGAGGTAAGCCAGAGACCTCACCTCCCATGTCCTTGCACACACATACCTAAGGCAGACCCAGCTGCATAGGTTAATCCTTCAACTGCCTCTCCTGGCGGGGAGGTTGGGGAATCCTCCAAAGTAAGAGGGACCTGGGGTCGAGCTATATTTTCGCTAGAAACTAGTTTGGGGCCACACTCATGCCCAGAGCAGAGATATGCCTATGTTGGCAGCAGATGTCACATAGGTTTAGTGTTGCCAGATAAAATGCAGGATGCCCACTTATGCCCCAAATAGTGCACGGGACATACTAATTCTAAAAAATCACTTGCGCTTATCTGAAATTCAAATTTAACTAGGTGAAATGTTTCTTCCTTTTGAAATCTGGCAGTCAGGCCCTTTGTAGGAGCATTCAATCAATGGTGTGGTCTCAGCAAACATCTTAAAACATCTTAAGCATTAGAAGGAACACCAACAAGAAGAGAATTCAGAGGGAGGGAGTTATACTAGGAAGCCCAAACAGTGTGTGTGGGCGAGCAGGGGTAGTTCAGTCACTTTTGAATTACGAGAGAACAGAGGGCTGACGGAGCTCCTGTGAAGGACTCGGGTATGTATGTATGTATGTATGTATGTATGTATGTATGTATGTATTCATTCATTCATTCATTCATTCATTCTGTCGAACCCTTGACCGCGGTATTAGCACCACGCTCTCCAAAGTGAGCTAACCGGCCACCCTCAGGACTCGGATTTTTTAGTCCTACCTATCTCCTTCACTGTCCCCCAAACGTGTGACCAGGATTACTGTCCTATTTTGTGAGTCCCCCCTCCCCCGTCCCCCAGAGACACCTCTGCCCGGACACAGGCCTGTAATGGAAAACACAGCAAGACCGGCCCGCTAGCTCAAGCCAACCCGTCGCGGCGCCGGCTCAGCCGCGCCTGCACCCGCGCTCGGCGCCCGCCCCGGCGGTGGGGGCCCCGCCTCTCTGCAGGAGGCGGCGCCGGCCTCGCCCCTCTGGTCTCCGATACTTTCCTGGGTCAGCTGGTGCTGGCGTCAGGCGGAGGGATGGCCTGGCTCAGCTCGACCCGGCAGGGCTTGTTTACTATGGCTGATGATCTGGAGCAGCAGTGAGTTAATCCTGTCTCTCTCTTTCTCTCTCTCTGTCTCTCTGGGCCATGATCCTGGGACTGTCTGTGGCTGAGGAACAGTTTTAGACACCTTCCCGCCTTTCTTCGTTCAGGTCGGCTTCCAGGCAGGGCTGGGGGGTGCGTTTGCTCGCTTTGCTTTTGCCCAGAAGAGGCGGCGGCAGAGCCTGGGGGGCGATGGTAGATGAGCTGGCCTGCAGCTCGGTGGTTCCGCCTTTCCACGTCAGGCTTCGCGACTGCCCCTCATTCTCCTGTACTCAGGGACTAGATCCGGTGGTGATGTGTGAGATCCTCCTAAAGCAAGCTTGTGCGGCGCGGGTGCGGGGTAGCAGCCGGGTGCGCTCGTCTCGACTTGCCCCGGGATGGTAGCCGTGGGTGTGGAAGGAGCCTCCCTTAGCCCAGCAAGGAGAAGGCGTGGGAAGAAGGGAGAGGTCTCCACCGCTCTGGGATTGGTATGGAGTAATGGGCTTGCAAGTTTAACTATCGCCCACCGAGACACGCAGCCGCTTGCGACCCTAGTTGATAATGCTTTAAATTACCATAACGACATCCTTAATGCAGTGGTTTCAGAATTAGAGCTGTTGGGGTTTATGACCACTCTCTCAAGGGCATCAGGTTTGGGATGCCACCTGTAGGTGGTGTGACAAGAGTTCACAGTCTGATATGGGCAAGGAAAATTTGCCTCCAGAAGAATGACTCAGCTCCCAGCCAAGACAAGGCCCCGGACAGGGCCTTTCTTCGACCTGGTATTACACCTTTTCAGACCTGCAGAACTGGCAGCCTGCAAAAATAATTAACTTTATGACAATAATAAATAGCTTCCTGGGCTTGAAGGAAATGCCCAGGGGAGTTGCTTTCTAAGATGACTTTTCCAAGAGGAAATTTACAATTCCTAAAATGACTTAGGGGAACAGAATTCTAGTGCTTGAAGAGATGCAGGTAGTTCAGCACCTTTTCACAAATGAAGAAGCCAGTGCCCATAAAAATTAGAAGACATGCCCCAAATCACAGAGATCTAGAACAGGATTCTCTCCCAGCACAGAACCCCTTCTTCACCCCATCAGGATGGAGGAGACCACCCTGGCCAGGCTCAGTTCATAGCTAAGTGGCTTCTGTGCTCCTGGCCTCAATTTCCCACCCCAGCCCTTACCTCCCTAGTACTGAGCAGATACAGTGTGCTAGGCACTATTCCCAGTGCTTTACTTGGAACATTTTTGGTGAAGAAGAAAGGCAAACTAAAGCTCCCCCTAAGGAGTATCTTCTGAGTAGCCTATGTTGTTATTCATGGGACAGCATTTCTCCTGAGCTCTGCTTTGGGCAGTCACAGGGCAATGTGGGTTCCAGATGTCTTGATCTGACTTGTCACAGTTTCTATGATGTGGAGGGAAAGTTTATCAACTTTGTCTTAAGAACAGGCAAAATTCTGTGGTCTTGTTCCCCAGGCTTTAAGCCTAGAAAGAATTTCAGTAGAGTGTTAAGTGGGTTCTCAATCTCCCTAGGATTTGAGTGATTGAGACTGACAACTCTCACTGACTAAAACCATTGATGTACCACTCCCAACAGCAACCCCAGTTTTTCTCACTGAGAGTTGCTACTTGGAAAACACTAGTAATTTAGACAGCTTATGATTTAGCTGGGGAAAACGAATTGGGAGTTTAGCTAGTGCTAGGTATTATTCTATTCTATTCTGTGTTTTAGTTGCATTGACTCATTTAATCCTTATAACAACCCTATGAAGTAGAAACTATTATTACCTCCCTTTTAAAGATGAGGAAACTCTGACGAGGCTAAATAATGTGCCCACAGTCATGTTGCTGGTACCTGGCACTGCTAGGATTAGAACTCTGGTCTTCTAGCTTTAAATCACACCTCCCTTCAGAAAACAGAGACAAGTGTGAAAATGTGTTTATAAACTGAGTATTCATGTATGGCCTTGAAAAGCTGAGGCTAGAAGGTCCAAGGAGGAGGTACTGAGAAACCTGTGTTTGAGATCTGGTTTAGAAGCTAGACTACATGATTGCTAAGGAAACATCCTAATCTAAAATTTTGTGCTTCAGATGATGTAATCAGGATGCCCAGTGTGTGCCAAGGGGGTTATGTAATGGTTTCCTTAATTCTACCACAGAACGCCCCTGCTTTGACTATGCTGATGTTCATAGGCCCTTCCTCTAGCTGTTGGTGTCTGCCTTGTAACCCCCTTCACCCAGGCAGAGGTCAAGGAAAGAGAAATATCATATGAGATGGAAAGAGAATAATAAAAACTCATTTATTGAGCATCTAATTGCTGGCCACCTCACAAGTTTCCTTACATTTCTAGATGCTCAGAGACAGGTGACTTAACAGGCCAGAGCCATTCTGCTCATCAATGATAGTGCTGTGATTCAGATCCAGGAGTTTTTTATTTCAAAGCTGACGCTTTTCGCTTTCACCTTCAATGACTTAAAGTCACTGGGTATGGAAGATAAAGCAGGATGAGTTGTCTTAACTGTTTTACTGCATGCCATGGGAGGTGAGGACATAGGTAAGCTTTCCACTCATTTTACAATCTAGAAAACAAGGACAAAGGCAACCTGTCCTGTCACTGAACCATAGCGGGACTAGAACCCAGGTCTCCCACCTCCTGTTCCCTGCCTGTCCCATGTCTATGTTCCGGGTTGGACTGATCGATCACCTCAATTGATTACCTCAACTGAGAGCTCAATTGCACACTAACACAATGCCCCACACTTGTAGGGGCTTGGAAGAGGGCACGTACAAATGTCAGTGCCCTGCCAGGAGGACAGGTGGCATGGAAATTTTCCTGTCCTAACCTAGAGGAACAGTTAGTCCTAGGGATGGCAAAGGATAACTGAAACATTAGTTAAAAGTTGCTTTTTCTCCCCTTTTAATCTCCTGGAACATAAATTATGATAATGGGTAACAAAGGGTAGTTGTAAAGCTCAAATGAGATAATAGATGTGAAAGAATTTGTACATTGTAAAGTATTATACATATGATATTCTGAATATCTATTGAAACAAGAGGCATGTTGTTAATAGCCATTTGCCAGAGAAGAGTAACAGTCTAGCAGGCAGCTAGAGAATTGCTGACAGCAATAGTGGGCAGATCTCCTGAGGCTGGGGAACACCCTGCACGCTGATAACTCTCTTGTAACTGTCAGCAAGGCTGAGAGCTTCAATGTTTCCTTTCTAATGTTGCCAATGAATGTCTTGTGTCTCCTCATCCCAGGCCTCAAGGCTGGCTGAGTAGCTGGCTGCCCACTTGGCGCCCCACTTCCATGTCTCAGCTGAAGAATGTGGAAGCCAGGATCCTCCAGTGTAAGTAGAAGGGACAGCTTGTCCCACCTTCCTTAGGAGGCCCAAGAAGAATGTAGGATCTGTCCAGAGCCGGGCACACCAAGCCTACCGATTTCTGATTACAGTGCTTGGGGTGGAAGCAAGGGATGTTAGTGATTTAAGGGAAGAGATTTACACAGAGGACTCCATATTTTATGATAGTGCTTTCTCAACTTCTCCCTAGCCATCTGCTAGTTCCTGCCACATCCTACAACTTGACTTCAAACTGTGTACTAATGTGTGTTAACACACGCACACATATATATTCTCCCCTCTCTCCTTTCTCCCCCATTCCTCTCCTCTTCCTTTTCTACCTCTCTCTTCTAAACACATAAGCACTTCTTAGATTTACCACTTCGCTACCTGAGAACCAGCAGTCCTACATTCTCTAATATTACTAGCCCTGTGTTCTATCCAGTTTTGGCCCACCACCCATCTGTGTACTACAGTAGTTTGGGATTTGCACAGACTGGCTATTATGGATGGTGTCATGTTGGGGCAAGGCATCCTAGGAGCAGCAGCAGCCACGGGTTCAAACAAGATCCTTGGGCCACATCTCCCTATATTTCCCATATGATCTTCCCCACCTTGCCACCACTGTTCCAACCATGGCTACCCCCTCTCTTATGGGTCTGAGTAATAAGTACAGCCACAGAGCAGCCACAGCTTTCAAGCCTCTGTCCAGGATCCAGGCTGTGACACCCAGACAACTCCGTCATGTGACTGCTATCACACCAGCAGAGCAAGCTCTGCCCCACATATAGCAGGAATAAGCCCAACACTCAGTCCACACCCATCATCCCTTCCACCTGGCTGGAACCCAGTCAGAAGCTACCCTCCCAGATACTGTCAGTGAGGACAGTTCTGTCCACCTTTCAAGACTCAAGCACACACAGGTTCAGAAGTGATGGGTGCAAAGATTCTGTGGGGTTAGTGGTGTCACGCCACCCTTCGCCCAAAGGGAGCTGGGCAAATAACCTCAAGGAATAAGATGGTCTCATTAGTACGAACTAAGTGGTCTACAAATTGTGCTAGGAGTTGAATTCTTTAGGGTGTGTAGTGTTTAAAAAAAATTATTCTGACACTTATTATATTGATAAGGAAGATTATTGCCATAGGGAGAGAGATCGGGCTCAACTCGTAATACAATAAGGACAAGTAGAGATTTATGTCCAAGGAGCAGGGTAAGGGTTCAGCAGATGGAAAATTACTAAGAGAAGGCATCAAGGATAAGGAGAGTTCTTGCTAAACTAGCTTAGGATTCTTGCTGAAGGAAGGTCAAGGACTTGTACATCAAAGGTAGGGGATGAGGAACTTGATCAGATATAAAGAGTGAGGGAATTCTTGCTAACCCGACTTAGCAGGGTTGTTGCTAAGACTGGGCTAGGCAGGCTGAAGACAGGCTGAGGTTTGATGAAAAAGAGGGCTCAAAGGAGCTTGTCTGAGGTTTGGTCAAGGAACAAGTCTTTGCCAGTGGTCAGATGGTTGTGAAAGGCAAGAGGTGAGGGAGTTTGGGAAGGGCATGGGAATGGAGAGAATCTGGAGCAGTGGTTCAAGCAAAATGATGACACTGTCAGGAAACAGTCTTGTTGATTTATCCTGGGATTCTCCCCTCCTCAGGTCTCCAGAACAAGTTCCTGGCCCGATATGTGTCCCTTCCCAACCAGAACAAGATCTGGACAGTGACCGTGAGCCCTGAGCAGAAGGACCGCACCCCACTGGTGATGGTGCACGGCTTCGGGGGTGGCGTGGGCCTCTGGATTCTCAACATGGACTCACTGAGTGCCCGCCGCACACTGCATACCTTCGACCTGCTTGGCTTTGGGCGAAGCTCAAGGCCCACATTCCCGAGGGACCCAGAGGGGGCTGAGGACGAGTTTGTGACCTCAATAGAGACATGGCGGGAGACCATGGAGATCCCCAGCATGATCCTCCTAGGGCACAGTCTGGGAGGATTCTTGGCCACTTCTTACTCCATTAAGTACCCCGAAAGGTAATGAGGAGCCAACCCTCCCTCATGACCTAACTCCTTGCCTTGCTGGGAACTTTCCAGTATTTGTTTCCAATAGTTTCCTCCTTCCCAGGCAATTTAAGGACTATGGTACCTCCAAGCAAATACAATGTGTCTTCTCCTTTCTCCCCCCTTAATGTAGAGTTAAACACCTCATCCTGGTGGACCCGTGGGGCTTTCCCCTCCGACCGACTGACCCCAGTGAGATCCGTGCACCCCCAACCTGGGTCAAGGCCGTGGCATCTGTCCTAGGGCGTTCCAATCCACTGGCTGTTCTTCGAGTAGCTGGGCCCTGGGGTGAGTTGCCTGCAGATGAAGAAACTCTTCTTAAACCAAGGCTTTCCCATTCTAAAAACCCCACTGCGTCTGGATTCCCACCATCCCTGGTTATTCATGAAAAGTGGGAATGGGCCTAGCATTATTATTTACAGCCTTTAATCTGGACCAGATTTCTTCGTTTGAGGTTTCAGAAGTTTCTTCTTTCCCCCTTTATCCATATGGAAAATCTTTCCTATGCAAGAAACAGATGAAGCAGAACAGCTAAGCTACCCCATGCCTTGGCTAGACTCCAAGAGAGGAAGGGGGAGTGAGGTAACTCTTTCTCTACTACATGTGTGAGTTTTTATGACAACCTGTTGGTGATTCTGGCGCAGTAACTACCACTGGATCCCTGGCACCTGCAGCAGGGAGGGGTCAGAACCAGAGCTTCCAATATAACAGTAGCAGGCAAGCTCCTCTGAACCATGCCCTGCTCCAGGCAAGCAGCACATCTTCATCTGCCTTTTATGGCCTGGCACTTAGTAGCTGTCAGCAAATTGTGTGGCTAAAAGGGAGCGAAGGAGGTAGACAGGGAGCTAGCCATAGTAAACATTATCAGTAGCTCTGGCCTTCTGACTTCACACTGTCAGCACCCTTCCCCTCTGGGGAGCTTTTTATTCTGATTAAGTGAAAAGCAGATTCCCTTTATGGAAAACATCGGTGGCTTATGTTTATATAGTAATGTTCAATAGTCAGTTATTATGAGTTAACTGCTAATGGCTAAATAAGAGTTACCTCTCTAGGCCCTTCAAGAAAAACAGAATGACCCTGGATAAAGGGAAAAATGAACACTTGAGTAGAAGGCATAGATTCAGGAGTTCTGAAAGAAAGAAAGGCTAGCAAGAGATACAGGTGCCAAAGGAGAGTAAGTGGGCCCAGAGCTGACCTTCTCAGAGCTGCCAGCACCGTGAGCTCCAGCAAACTCTACACTCCTGTTCCAAGGAGAAGCCTGCTCTAACCACTGTCCCCTTTTCTGGCCTTGCATCTGGCCAGGTTCATGTGTGGACATCAGAGCTGTTATGGTTGGAGTGGTTGGCTGGCAGCCATAGAGGGAGGCCAGGACCATGGATAACCTCGAGCACTTCGCTGACCAATTCTCACCTCCCTCTCACCCCCTTGCTTCTCACAAAAGAGAGATAAAAAGTTCCTCTTTAGGCCCAACATTTACAGCCTGTTTTGGGTGCCCTACTGCTTGTATATGTAGCATTAAAAAAAGATGAAAGATAAAACAAACAAACAAAAAAAGGTGAAAGGAATAGATTGTTCTAAAACACAGTGCCCTGAGTCTGAGCCGCCAGTGTTAAGCTCATCTCTCACATATTCTATTACAGGCCTGAAAATGACAGGACTCTTGGGAGGTGGTCCAGTTTCACCTGCTACCTTGAGAAGATTAAAAGACCATAAGGGTCTCAGGGAGAAAGAGAACATAGCTCAAACTGTAAAAGAAAGGCATCTCAATCATAGACTCCTGTGGGGCTTGTGATCCTTGCAGGAGGAGATCTTCGAACTTCAATGAGCTGAAAATAACCTGGTTTCTCAGTGATGTTAGACTGTCTCTAAATTCTTTGGTGACAAACTAACTCTATCATTTGAAGCCATCTGGAGCTTCCCAGTAGATTCCCGCACTCTTTCTGCCACTGTAATGTTAAATGTATGTGGCAAACAAAGCCTTAGGAGAAATAACGTTTCATTAAAGCTGTTAATTCTTGTCTCTCCCCCTCCCGCCACCCACCCACCTAAACTAGCCACCCTGTTTTTCTGTCCCCTCCCAGGGCCTGGCCTAGTGCAACGATTCCGGCCAGATTTCAAGCGCAAGTTTGCAGACTTCTTTGAAGATGATACCATATCAGAGTATATCTATCACTGCAATGCGCAGAATCCCAGGTGAGGGCAGCTCCTGGGGCCAGCTCCAAGTGCACAGTTTGGAGTTAAAACTCTGGCTGGTTGAATTCTGTGCTTTATTTCTTCTTCCACAAAGCTGTGACATAGGGGAACACAGGCACAAGCAGACTTGATCATTTCCAGAGAGTTCCCCAGGAATAGGCACAAAGGGATACAGAAGATGACAGATTAATTAATCACTAATTAATGCTTCTTGTCTCTAGAGGAAAGCCCTCCCTCTTCCCTAGTGATACATAGTTGGCCTGATGGGCAAGGATCTGGAAAACATTTTAAAAGATCTTTTTTTTTTTTTAACTGTAAGTGATACAAACATGGTACTTTTAAAAAGGAAAAGAAAGGAAGAATTCTTCTGTCCCAGACCTGCAGTCCCCAAATTTCCTTATTATTTCCAGTCTAAGGTATCAAGTGACATTGCTTCAGAGGACCTCCTTGCATGTACTCCTTTGCACATGTGACTGTATGTATAGAATACATTCCTACAAATAGAATTGCTCAGTGAAGAGTATGCATTTTTAAATTTAATTATGTCCACTTTGAAATAACCTACCATTGAGACAGAAATTTCTTTGCATCTTTTAGAAATTTAGGTGTGTCCCCAGAACCTTGAAAAGTTCCTCTGTGTGACTGGTCACTTACACAGCAGGCCCCATAAGCCTGCCGATCTGCAGTCTTGGCAACTTTGACAGCCAGGGCAGAGTCAGGGAGGTAATCTTCCCCTTAAGCAGTTCCCTGTGAGTGGCTGATACCATGAGGCCATGTTGGTGGCACCGCCTCTGTGGAGGCCTCACCCTGAGCTGCTGGGAACATCTCAGGGGAGCCAAGGTCACTGCCTGCCTCTTTGCAGGCCTGCCCAAGTTGCCCACCGTGAACCCAAAGCATTTCAGCAATGCTGTCTGAGTATCAGCCTCAAATCCAGGCAGCTTTTGGGAGTGTGGGAGCTGTCTAAACAACATTCCACATGAGCTCAGCTAATTGAAGGGCCCTGGTGAAGCAGGAACATAGAAACTCTCAGCTGAACAGTCAAATCTGGTACCCCTCGCCTCCTGCTCTCAGCTTTCCTCTTGGCCCCCATGGGTTCAGTGATAATCTCATACCCAAATGGGCCACCAGGGATCCAACCCTAGCCCTTTCCTCAGAACCTCCCCCATCCCAAACCTAGTTTTGCACAGTGGCCCCCCAATTTAAATCACAGATTACATAATCTTGCAGCTCATTCATGTCCTGGAAGAAGCAAAGATGACATTAGTGATAACCAGTTCCCTTACCCCCAAACACCATTACTCAATTTTATAGCCCCCTGAGTTCTTCTGAGTTGTAACCCTGACAAGCTTATGGTAATTCATCAATTCCCTTAAAAAACATAACATTTGGCTAAGGGAAAAATGTTTGGGAGGTACCAAAACTGAGGGGTTTTGTATATATTTTCATCCTCCTAGTGATGACCTAATAAAGTAGGTATAATTCTCTCCAATTTGTACATGGGAAAATTAAAGTATGCTCTGGTTACACAACTTGCTGAGAAAAAATAGCCAGGATTTAAATTTATGTCTATCCAGCTCCAAAGCCCATGATTTTTCCACTGTGCTGTGATGTCTTGAGGAAAACTTCTCAGTTTCTGGTGGCTTGGGCACAAATCAAGCTTCCCTTCATCACAGGGGAGTGATGTCTTGAGGAAAACTTCTCAGTTTCTGGTGGCTTGGGCACAAATCAAGCTTCCCTTCATGATGATGGAGGGAATGTGATGGAGACTGGGATAGTTATACTAAACAAGTGGAGCCTGGGAGGTGGCAGTGTCCCGAGCCTCCCTACCTCCTGCAAAAGCTACAGACCAGCCCAGAAAGTGGACTGTCCCAGCCTTGCAGACACGTCATGATATGGCCTCAGTTAGTTCTATCTAAGAAGATGACCAGGGAGTGAAGCAATTATATTGGCATTTGTTGCTTCTTGCTTAGCAGAAACTGCTGCTTCCCTGGTTCTCATAAGACTGAATTTTAATTCCAGAGTCTTCTCAGGAAGCCTTTTTACTACTATAGTACTTGCTCTTCAGAATTCACCCTAAAAGAACTCTTTGACCCTCCCCCAGTAGACTAAGCCTCCAGTCTGTGTTCTCATAGCACTCTACCACCTTTTCATCATTCTTGGAAAATTTTAAGTGAAATAATTAATCATATAATTTGTTATTTATTATCTACCTCCCTAAAGTATGAGCTAAAATGTGAGCTCCAGGAGGGCAGACACCTCATCTGTCTTGTTCATATGTTCCATCCCCCAGCCCAGAGGGTGACACAAGCATTTGTTGAATAAATGTTAACCCATTTCACTCTTGGACAGTTCTCAGTGCCATGGGGTTTTTCACAAGTGTGTCCCTCCTAACCTTCTGTCATAGGAGACTTCTGGAGATTTAGTCATCTTCTACTCTTTTCTTATTTTTTGGTGGCTGGCTGGTTCAGGGATCTGAACCCTTGACCTTGGTGTTGTCAGTATCGTGCTATGAGCAAGTGAGCTAACCAGCCAGCTGGGTCATCTCCTACTCTTACCAATATTTAAAGAGCCCCATGCTGAGCTTTGAGAGGAATACAAAAATGACTAAGATAACTGCCCCAGCCTCTGAGGAAACCAACAAGTTGACATTTTCTGCTGAAAGGTTTATTCTATTAATTGCTTCACCCTGTTTTGCTTCTGTCAGTGGTGAGACAGCATTCAAAGCCATGATGGAGTCCTTCGGCTGGGCACGGCGCCCTATGTTGGAGCGAATTCATTTGATTCGAAAAGACGTGCCCATCACCATGATCTACGGGGCCAACACCTGGATAGACACCAGCACAGGGGAAAAGGTGAAGATGCAGCGGCCGGATTCCTATGTCCGAGACTTGGTATGTTGGGCCACCCCAGGAGTGGGACTTGAGCTAGAAATGCTGTGAAGTGGGCTGGCCAGTTAGCTCCACTGGTTACAGCAGTGTTAAAACACCAAGGTCAAGGGTTCAGATCCCCATACTGGCCAGCAGCCCCCCAAAAAGGAAAAAAAAGTAATAACTTATTGGTTAAAGCGCAGCCTTATAACACCAAGGTCATGGGTTTGGATCCCTGCACCTGCCAATCGCTCCTTCCCCACCCCCCACCCCCCACAAAGAAGAAATGCTGTGAAGTGAATGCCAGCACATTGACTGACTCTCAGTCACTCAACTCTCACCCTTGGGGTAGAGAAGGTAATCAAAGAGTCAGTGAGAAAAGAGGAATGGACAGATTGAGAGAGGGCAGTGCTTGTGAAAGTTTTGGCTCCCTTTGTTGTTTCATAATTAGGGGTTTCCCACTTCTGAGTATTCCTGTTCAGCTAAAAGGCAGGTTCTCATCCAGTAGCCAGGCACAGGCTGCCACTCTGGCCCCCCGTAACTCCTCCCCACACCAGCACTATGAACAGTGGACGAGTAGTAGAGGCTGCTGCGAAGCCCTCGCGCCACCCTTCTGCCTTCCCTTAGGCTGGGTGCCCCCACGGGCCCTGGCTTACTCTGTATGAAGTGAGCAGATTGGTGGTGGGGCTGACATGGAAAGAAAGAGACAGTGAATAGCCACAGAAGTAGAATGGGATATTGGGATTCGTTGCCTCCCAAAGGAAAGTACCGTGATCCTGGGAGAAAGGTGAAGCCTTATTTCTGCTACGAGCTCGTGGATGACAGGCAAGCTCATCTAAGGGGAAAAGAAATGGTGCGACAGCTTTCTAGTGCCAGGAACAAAGGGCCATCTCCCACCGCGGGTCCTCTCTCCACAGGAGATTGAGGGTGCATCGCACCATGTCTATGCCGACCAGCCCCACATCTTCAACGCTGTGGTGGAGGAGATCTGCGACTCGGTCGACTGAGCTGCTCTCTCTAGACAGAGGAAGAGGAGGAAGCCAGCGAGTGACTCTCGCCTCTCTGTCCACTCACGCACCCCCTATATCCTTCCCTCACAAGCTAACATGTGCCAGCCAGGCAGAGTCTTGGGCTGTCCCCAGGATAGGACCACAGTGAAAAAAAATCACTCCTGAGTCCACACTAAGGGCTAGAGGCAGAAGCGAGAAGAGGCCTTGAGCCCCCCACCCAGAGGAAGAACATGAAGGGATGCACAGTGCCCCGCATTCTCTCCATGCCAAGTGTTCCCCGAGTGGTGGTGAAGGGATTGCACCGAGCCACATCTCTCCCTGTGCAGCCTTTCCTTCCTCCAGGCAAAGGAGGGCTCCCAGCAGCCTTTCCTAGCTTTGGAGTGTTTATGGGGTTAGGTTCCGTGCAAGAACATCTTCTCCATCACCCCCACCCTCATCCTGTGCCAGTTCCATCCAGATTCTGATTTGGACCAGTCCTCACTTAACTACTAAGAGCAGGTCCTAGAGCTCCCTTCACCTGCAGGTCCCTTCTATGACCTGAAAGCCTTCATTGACAGATGAGGGAACAGGGCAAGGCAGGACATGGCTGGCCCATGGTAACACAGCTCTGTGTGATATGACTTTCAGCAGAGCTAAGTCTAGAACCCAGTCCACTGACACTCAGTGCTATTGCAGCCTTGATTTGCCAAGGTTCGAGGCAGGCTCCATTGCCATGAGGTTAGTCCTGGTCACCAGCTGAGGCCCATCCCTGCCCCACATTCTAGCCCCATTGTGCAGGGGTGCTGTAGTCCTTCCCTGTGTCTCAGCCCTGGCTGCCTAAGCTGGGAACATTCAAGTGCTTCCTTACTTGCCCCCTTTTCCTACCAACTGGGAGGCCTCTGAGCCTCCCTTTGTGCCTTGGGCCCTGAAGCCCCATATATAGTATAGAGCAAAGGTGGCCCCTGGTGGAGAGTGGGGGAATAGGCCCTTCAACCCCAGGGCCAGGTCTGGATTCTCCATGCCCACTAGTATCCATATTTTTTTACCTGCCTCCAGAGCTGAGGCCCTCCCTGAGCCCTTTCCCATGGTCCAATGGGAAGCCTCAAGCCAACAGTCCCCTGTCATCAGCCACAGGATGGTTCCCACTGCCTGACCCTCTATCCCCATGGCCTCCAGCTCATCCTGCCCCCCACCTACCTATCAGCCCTCTCCCAGGGGCTGGGTCCAGGTGCTGCTCTCAGGTTCTGGGCAGTAGGCTGGGCCTAGCCCCAAACCAGGGCAGCTCTACCTGTTCCTGCATTTTGTAAAGCCAATGCTCTCACCAGAATAGTATTAACTCCTGGTGCTTTGTACTACTGGTCAAACTGCCTTGGGCTCGTTTTCTATATTAATAAAAAATTAGTAAAAACTGCTAGCAGTGATGGCATTTAATGTTGCTCTGACAAGTGCTAGGTGGTACTGAATTCACAACAGCCCAAGTGATGCCCGAGTCAGAGGAGGGAGCCCTGAGGGGTTGCTGCTTACACACCACTCCATCTCTGGCCCTCTGGACCCAGACCAGAGTCCATGTCAGCACAGGCCATTGCAGCCAACCCACTCATGACTGATGAGGAGTTGAGATCCAGAATGTGGGTGGGCCAAGCCCCGATTCACTGGAGGAGAAGGACAATTAGGCAGCACTGGGTCTCCCTGCAGCCCATTCCATGCACCACTTCCTATGCACAGGTGGGCCTGCATGGGTACCACTCCCTGCAGCCTGCTCTAATCCTACTCATCCTCTGAGTCTCAGCTCAAATACTCCTTATGCAGAGAATCCTCCCCTGACCCCTCAGATTAGACTTGGACCCCTGTTCTGTGTCTCCATGGCACACCAACTACCCCTTTTGTAAAACTCATAAACTTGTGGTTACTTATTTAATGTCTATCTTTCCCCCATAGACCATAAGCTGTGTAAGGATAAGGGGCATGTCTGGCATATAGTTCATGTTCAATAAATTTTTGATCAAGCCAAGGGAAGTGAGAAATGTATACAAAGTCTTCACAAAGTATTCAAATCATTACCAACAGTGCCTGCTCTGTGTTGGCTGGCACCAGTTAGGCCCAGAAATTCAAAGCTCTAAACAGCCCATAAGGTCCAGGGTTCAATCCCTATACCAGCTAGCGGCCAAAAAAAAGACCCACAATACTACATACATAAGGATGAGTGAATGAATGAACAAATGGACAGAACTCTGGTATGGAGAAGGCAGGTATTTAGAGCTTACTACATGCCAAGCACTAGGGCTACAATAGTGAAGAAGCATATGATCCCTGCCTTTATGGGAAATTCTACTCTATTTGGAGAAATGCACTTAATCAAATTATTATGTAAATCAATGTAAAATTGCATCTGGAAAATGCTGCCCATGAGAGGTTGGAAAAGCCTCCTACAGAAGTGATGACAGCCGAGCCTGAAGGTAGGACAGTTAAAAGGGCGGAAGGAAGAGAACAGCGACTCAGGAGAGAAAAGCAACTGCAAAGGCTGTTAGCAGTGAGGGTGGCTGGGAGATGTCTGGGGAGGTCGGTAGGGACCTCACACAGACTCTCTAGCCACATTGTATTCATCCTAAAAAGACATGAGTTGGGTGAGAGTCAGATTGCGGGGAGGAGTATGACAGAATCAGATTGAGGTTGGCACAGCCACTCTGGCTGCTCTGTGGTACACAGACTGGAGAGGGATAAGGCCCTCCCTGCAGGAGAACTTTGAGGCTACGGCAGTGGTGCAGGCCAGAGATGCTGATGGTTTGGACTTGACTAGTGGCTGGTGGACACAGAAAAAAGATGCAAGAGATGTTTAGGAGGTAACATTAAAAAGGATTTAATGTCAACACTGAGTGATGCTACCACCCTCTTGAAGAATGTGCTGAAACTTGGATGGAGTCTAACCATGAAATCTGCATTTAAACACATTCCCTAGGAGATTCTGATGCCCCGGGTCTGTAGGCGCTAGTCTAAGGGACCCTGTGCCTCTGACACTTGACCCAGAAGGAGGGCCTATGGCCTTGAAAGTTCATCCTGCTTGCT